AGTAGAGACAAATCTATATTTATATGGAGTGTAAGGTCAGGTGATAAAAACAAAATTCATGTTGAAAGAAACGGAGGTTTGATTTCTTTGTCCTTCTCTCCAGATGGTTCTATAATAATGTGTGGTAGTTGTGATAAATCTTTTCAGTTTTTTGATGTAAAGTTAGGAATTTTTACCAAAATTTTATAGGGACATGAGGGAATTGTTAATTCTGTGAGCTTTTCTCCAGACGGACTTTAATGAGAATCAGGGAGTTCTGATAAATCTATCGATTATGGGATGTAAAATCAGGAGAAGAAAAGACAATAAAAGGTGAACATAAAGGAAGTGTAAATTATGGTATCTATATGTCCTGATGGAATTACATTAGCCTCTACCAGTGAAGATGAATCAAGATTTAAATTCAGGAGAGGAGAAGATAATTTTAAAAGAACATCTTGGATAGGCCTCATCAATATGTTTTACCCCAGATGGAACGCAATTAGCATCTGGTAATAAAGATGCTTTAATCTGCATATGGGATATAAAAACAGGAGAATAAAAGACCATATTATAAGGACATAATGATAATTTCATATCATTATGTTTTTCCCTGATGGTAATTGGTTAGCATCCATTAGCGAAGACACTTTTATCAAAATATGGGATACTAGATCTGGAGTAATAAAGTATACATTATAAGGGCATAGCGATTATGTGAGATAAGTATGTTTTTCTTCTAATGGTGCTGCTTTACCATTCTATAGCGAAGATGAATCTATACATTTATGGGATATAGAGTCTGGAAAAGAAAAAAAATAATAAATGGACATGATGGAACTATTTATTCATTATGCTTCTCTACAGATGGCATCAAATTAGCCTCTAGAGGTGAAGATAAATCAATCTATTTATGGAATGTTAAATCAGGAGTAAAAAATAAAATATTAAAATATTAAAAGGACATAATGGATAAGTTTCATCCTTATGATTTTCTACTGATGGTACTGTATCAGCCTCTGGTAGTTGAGATAATACTATTTGTTTATGGGATGTAAAATTGAGGGAAGGAAAGTGTATATTGCAAGGCCATAATGATTATGTCTTAAGAGTATGTTTTTCTCCCGATAGTTCTATTTTAGTATCTAGAAGTATCGATAAATCAAATTGTATATGGAATATGAACTGTTAATAGGAAAAAGAAATATTTCCATAAAGCCTAGTTTCTTTTACCTAAATCCATTAAATATAGTTAATTTAATTCAATCAATATTTAAAATATTTAATACAGTAATTAAATTTACTCCCAAGCCGATAATCATTTATAACAGATTAGATAATGTAATACTTCAAATAAATTAAAAAATCCAATATACTATTCAAGTATAAAAAATTATTTTTCAAGTTAAAGATATCGTTACCCTTATCCGAATTTCAAAACATGAATAATTTACTGCGCAAAGTGCTTTAATAATGAATGGGAAATTTGCTAATCATCTTGGAATGAATCTGAGAAAGTTATTTCAATAAAAAGGAAGCTTTATTTTAAAAAGTGAAGAAATCAAGATTTCAATTCAGTTCAAAAATGATTATTATTAATATGAAAATATTTAAACCTTTATTTTTTTTAACTTTTTTTGATTGAATTTAAATATTTCTATTTCTTAAATCCTAATCATATTCATGTGAAAAATCCTCAATATCATTTCAAATGAGATGCAATTAAATCTGAACCCAAAAAAAAATTGATACTCTAAACATTTTAAATTAAACTATTTGCAAAGAAAAAGTATTTTAATTCAAAGTAAATATTTGAATTAACATCTTCTCTCCAGCAAATAATATTTATTATATAAATGATATCATTTTTTTGATATTAATTTATAAATATTTTAGAACAAAATACAAAGAGTTTTCATAAAGTCTAAAGATATTTTTAATTAAAAGGTATATGTTGTAATTGGGAACTCACACAATATTATTATAAAGACTTTTATGGATAAATTAGTATCCAAAAGTTTAAGTTAATTTTTAATCAATAATATTATCCATTTTATTGACGCAATAAAAAATGGATAATATATTATTAATTCAATTTAAAAAGCTTTTGATTTTTTGGCTATAAAGTCTTTTCCTCTTTTTAAATATTATGCTTAATTATTCAATTACTATTTCTCTAATTAAACAGCACTTTGAACCGAATAAAAAAATCATACTCATTTTAAGAATTTAAACAGATATTATAATTTTCTTCATATTTAAATATTGGCTTTAATTGTTGATTATCTATCAATATCAATTAGTTTATTAATAAATTAAGTAGCTATCTAAAATGAAATTAATTTAGTGAATTCTCTATTCTATTCAGTTTTTCAGAATTATTATTCAATTATAACTAAAGATTAAGATAGCAATGATATTTTAATAAAATATTAATATGATTATAAAATAAATTATGTATTTATTGATTTTTCAATTCACTCTTCGCTGTCATCCTTAATATACTTTTCACTTTATAAATTTGGAGTTGCTTTTTAAGATCTTTAAATTTGATTATGAAAAATTTCTGCCATTTAGTCAACTCGATTCTATTTACTAATTTTTCATAAAATTATATAATACATTTTTTCAATAACAAAAGTTGTTATTGTATTTTTAGAATAATGTAAGGAACTATCTAAAATTGATGTTTTTATTAATTAATTCGATTCTTTAGCTAGGACTGGACTTCCAAGACTTAAAGGAAGAGTAGCAATATTTTGTTTACTGTATTTTTATCTGGCAATTTGCAATTAGTAATTTTTAAAGATTATTATTTATTTAGCTTAAGGGAGTAAAAATTGTTTTAGTTTATTATACAAAAGAGCAACTCGATTACGCTATTTAGAGCGGTCAGCTAATATTCTTCTCATAAATGCAATATTATTTAGAAAAGGGAGGGTATTTCTAATAAATTACCTAAGTTTATCCAGATTTTCATCAATATTGCTTATCTTTTCCTTCAAGTATTCTACTAGAATCTTGGATATTAGTTTATATGTAATATGAAGATTCAAACTTGAAATTATAATAACATAAGGTATTTGTATTTCTTGTTAATTTGATTATTCTGAAACATAGATACCGATGGCTAGAGCGATTGAAGCTAAGCAAACATTTGTAGAATATTAATCTAATTTATTGAGACTATTTAGATTATATGGTTTATATTTTAAACTTAATTCTAAATAAACTCCTAAAATGAGTGAAATAAGTGTTGCTTTTAAAATTATACTATCCTCATAATATGTCAAGAAGATGATCATTAATTCTTTTTGTGATATTTTGATAACTTCCCAAAAGTAAGCAGTTTTAGTATATTCATTATATAGATAACCCCATTAAAGTCTTACCTTTTTATCATTTAATTAGTGAGAATTACTATAAAGATTATAAAAGAAAGATATTGGAATAATAATTGCAAGAACTACAAGCATAGGTAAACAAAGTCGAATCATCCATTTTTCATGATCAGGAGTATCAAATCTCTAGGAAACATTTGATTAAATCCATTTATAACCTGAGATCTCTCTATACGAAATTAGTTGAACAAATCCTCCAATCAAACTTGGGTGTAAATATATGTACATATATATGAGGGTTGTTGTAATGACACTTCGATTAAAAGTTGCAAACTTAAATTTGACTGCAAAATAATAACATAGAAAAAAGAATATGATATAAATGAATGGAATAATTATTTACCAAATCATCCTCCCATATTAGATCTCGAATGTAAATATATGAGATAAAAAGCAATCTAATGAATAAATCATACTCTATATTGGAGATCCAACTGTATTAATTGTACTTTGAAATCCACTAGGGAATTTTAATTAAAATGTAGCAATTTATGAAATTATTTATAAATAATTTGTTAACATCTTTATCAATATTCCAGATTGATTGTTAGTTTATTGAACTGTTAAACCTAAAAAAATAATGCTAATAATTTTAACAAATTTTTCAATTGTTTTTAAATTACTTTGAACTGACACTAATATAGAAATTAAAGTCCTTAAATAATTAATAATAAATTTTACCATATACTTACGCAAATTATAATAATTACATTTTTCTATTTCTCTTGACATGATCCACAAGCATATTTCTAACTCATTGAATATTCTCCATCACCTCTTGTATTATATAAATCACATTATTCACATAATGCTCCAATATGTCCTAAAAAACAAGAATCGTTCCCCTCTTACCAACCTCCTAAGCAATTTTCAGGTTAATTAATACAATAATTGACTATGTTGCTTTAAAAATATGGTCTCCAATAACCAAATTTTAAATTTAATAAAGCTGATTCTACACTTATTGTTGAAATATCATCTTTATATTCACACTTTTAAGAATTAAGTTTTAAAGAAAAAAGACCTTAATCACTATTACAAGGAACACATGAAAAATCACTATTATTTTTTATCTCTCCATATTAACAATTCAAAGTTTTAATATTAACTCTTAATTTATAATTAGAATGATGGTTTATCTGATTGAATGGATATTATGAATTGTATATAGGAATTATAATTGAATTACATTTAAATTATAATGATAATACTATTTCTGAAGGCAAGGCATTATCAAAATAGACAATAAAATCATCTAAATTATAATCTTATGTTGATTCATTAAAACTTATATTTTACATATTAGTTAGATTATTACTAAATAATTATTGATCATTAATATTGGATGTATTTAAAATTCTACTCTCTATTTCACAATATGAGTTCTTTAGATTTTTAATTACACTATTGTCTTTGCTCAATGCCATTAATCTAAACTTATAATTAAAAGGATAATAAGATCTATCTTCTTAAGAAAAGTATTTATAATGTGATATTCTTTGACCACTTGGTAAGAAAAAATATGATTTTTAAACATCTTCAAGAGATAAATCTATCACTTATTAAATTAATGAATCTTGTGTCTTTTCAATCGTTAGAGTTTATAATTTTGAGTTTTCATCATCAAAAGTAATTGTTAATTTTTGAGGTTCCGATGCTTTATCATTTCCAAAAAATCCAGCTTAGTTGTTAATGAAAATAGTTCCAAGAGATTAATAATCCATATCTTATTAATTAATCAAATAAATTCCACCTCCAATTTAAGCTTCATTATTTGAAATCCAACTATTTATTATAAAGACATCTTGTTTCATCTTAACTAAAATAGCACCTCCTGTTTCTGAGGCATGATTGAATTGAAAAATAGAATCTTTAATCAATACTCTTATATTTTCAGCAATTAAACAAGTTCCATTTTGAGCTCTGTTGAATTGGCAAATATAATTATCAATAAAAATTTCAAAATTTAGAGATTACAAATACATTTCTTAATTATTAAGTAATCGAAATGAATTTGAACTCTCTTTAAAGATATAAAAACAACCATTAATCCCACATGAAGAATTTGTTATTTTGAGTTCTGAAATGCATTATTTCATTAAAAGATTTTCAACTTTCAAAAAGGATTAGTATATTAAACCATACTAACAAAATTTGCAATCTATTTTTGAAAATAAAATATTATCTAGTTTAATTTAAGATGAGTCTGTAAGGTCTAAAAATAATAGCATTCCAGACTATGTGTTATCATTTAAAAAATTATTTTCTTATCCACTTTATTATAATATCTAAGATAATAAGCAATCACCGTATGTTATTTATTATATAGATTATGAAAACAAATTTAATGGTGCTTTTGAATTTTTGAAATTTTAAATGCATTTAAAAAAGATTGTTTATTCCTAATAATTTTATTATTAGCAACTATATCTCTTTAATTATAATGACACTGTAATATTTGATATTATCAAACCACTAATCTAAATAGTATTGTATAGATCTAGTATAATAAAAATATAATTACATTATTTTGAATTCAATTTGAAAAGGAATTTACTTATGATACTATTTGATATTTAAAAATTCTAAATTGAAACAGATAAAGCATAATTAATTTGCAATATAGATTCCAAGATGGAATTGCTAATTGTTATATTTTAAATGACTATATTGCTAGCTGAATGAATATAAAATAAGACTCTGTTATTAATAATAGCTATTTCTTCTGTTTTAGAAATTTAAGTATATTTATTTAAGAAATTGATAAAACCTTCTTTTTTATTTTAGATAACAACTGATTTTAAATTTACAGATTAAGAAACTTAAGATGCAAAAGAAAAAGTTACATGTAGGATGGATCCAAACTTAGCAAAAACATTTTGAATATTCAATTTCTAAAATTTAATAGTTACTTTTGGAGAATCAGATAAGATGTAAATGAAGCCTCCTGATTCTTTAGCTGTGATGTTTTGGATCTAAATTTGATAAAAAGAAACTTCAAGAGACTATGTTGATGTACCATCTAAATATATAGCTCCTCCAAATCCTAACTCTTAGGAATAAGTAGTAGAAAGATCTTTGAATGTAGTATATTAAATTTATATAACACTATCTTTTTAAGCTTCAATCAACAATGCTCCCCCAGAGAATCCTACAGATTATTAAAAATAACAAAATTAAATTTCTAAATTCTCTACCAAAATTTAAGCAACTCCAGAAGTAGATTTAACTTAGAAAATCTAGTTTATTTGTTCATACGATACTTCTTCAGATTCTAAAAATCCCCATAATAAATAAGGTTAAATTAATTAATAATTAAAATAACTATTCTAATAAAATGTACAATTTAATAATACTAATTTCTGACTCTTAATGTAAATTATTGTATCAGTACTATTGTAAACAGTATTTTATAGAAATTTTGAGTTTGTTATATTGACTATTCCCAAAATACAATTTATATTTAAAAGTAAAGAAGAGATTTAAAGACTATTCTAAAAATATTCATGCAAAATATTGCCAAGAAATGTAATATTTAATAGTTTTAGAGTTGTCTATTGAATTGAATCTATAAAAATAATTGCAGTTTAATATTTCTAATTGGATAAAAGTTATAAATTTGATTCCACAATAAAATTCTAAAAATGAATTACTTCAAATTATTGTTTTAAAACTTTGTCAGATGATTTATAATATATAATTGGTGAATTGTATGAATAGGTTGATTTAATTTGCATGTCAATAATTTCAAAATAAAGTACTGAAGTAACTAAGAGTGATTATAAATAATATTCACCCTAAACTTATTGTAATTAACAATCAATATATTAATGAAGCCCCAGAAATTTAAATTCATCAACTTATGTAATTTTACTAGACTCTATTCTTAATGATTTAGCCTCAACTATACTGATATCTATTAATCCAACACCTCGAATTAAGTTTAGCTCTAAAATGTTTATGTAATCAAAAGAAATATAGATTAAACAGGAGGTATAAGTATTCAATTAAAATTCAGGAGAAATAAAGGAGACATAATTATTAGATATCAATATATTTCTAATCTAAATTTTTGAATTTACATTATTGTATTTATCAAATAGAAGAAATTTTGTAGTTTGATGATATTCATTCTACTCTATTATTACATTAAAAAATTCGATTTGTGAATTACTCAATTAAAGTTAATCAGAATTTACAACTCCATAACTTAGTTCTCTAAATTTACAAACTTTAAAGATAAGTTCATGTATCTGGCTACTATTATTTAAAATCATAAGAGTTGAATTCTTAATAATAGAGTTCTAAAATTTTAAGCCATAAATAGTCACTTTTTAAAAAAGATACAGGTTTAAGAAGGTTAAACAGTTAAGTACATCTACTTAGAGATTTATAGTTTAAGCGACAAGAGATCCAAATTATTTTGATAAACTAGTATGTATTAAAGTTGAGTTTTAAAATGTTGCAAAAACTTATAAATTTTCAATTTAAATGATATCATTTTTATTAAGATTAAAAAATAGAGTAATTTAATTTAGAAAGATAGAATTAAAAATCCCGAAAGATTAAAGCTTTATTATTTTGGTATAAGATGTTTCCCCAATTAATATAAATATATTTACAATATTTTGTACTAAATCTTCTATTTTGAAATTGATTAATTCTAAGTTCTTAATATCATTAAAAATAAATTTAGATTGATCATTTTCCTATGAAATTTATTTATAATTAAAATTATCCAAAATTATTGTTTATGGTAGTTTACTTTAAAAAATAATTTATTTCAATTTATTATTTTAGATTGGTTTGAATTGAGCACCTTAGATTGTTATTTTATTAAAATTTTAGAAATTAATAGTTCTTTCAAATTCAATAATAGTATTTTAATTTAAAAAGATATTTAGCTCAACATTTCTAGTTTAAATTTGAAAATTTACATTGTAGAAAATATATTCTCACTAAAAATTTACAATATTGTTGCATTTCCATAAATTCTGCATATTTGTGGTTTGACACTCACAACATTAATAATGATTGTCTTAATGAGCATAGAATTGGCTGACAAATAAAAATCATGATTTTCAAACTACATTAATTTTATCATTTATAATTACCTCTTTAAAGCTATTTCCAGAAGTAAGATCTTACAATAGAATATTTTATTATTTAAACTAATGCTTTTGATAAGTTGACTAAATTTCATTCAAAGTCTAAATAAAATCTTATTAAGTGCAATACAAATTTATTGGAATAATGATCTGTTGTTCACAACTTACACCATTTGAACATTGAATAAAGTTTCCTAATTCTTAATCATAATAATAGTCTTAATCTTCATAGCTCTTTAAACACTGGTAAGTATACATGAAGTAATTTTGATTATTGAATAAAGGATTTATAATTGAAATTTCATCTTGCGATCTAATTCTACATAATCCACAATTTTTAGGACAAGGGATACATTGATTATCATATAAACTAAGTTTTCTACCTTGTTAATCCATTTCACATCTTATACATTAATTCTCACCATTGATATATTAACATTCTAAACATGACTCAGGACATACTTTTATGCACTTTTAATCCAATAGTTCATATCCTTTTATGCACATAGTACAAAAAATTTCATAATCATCCTTTTCTTCACTTTATGCATAAAGTTTAAAAGGATGATTATTATCAAAATTAATTGCAATTTAATAAAATGCTCGGATTTGGATTTTCCAATAGTCCTTTGATAATTTTTGTTGTTGACCACAATTATAGCAATGTAATTCAGATGGACATTAATAACATTTACCTGATATTCTTTCAGCATAGTATCCACTCTTACATTCAAGACAAATGTGAACAATTGACCATTTTAATACTCTCTCTCTTAAACATGTAGCACAGTTTTCAATTAATCCAGGGCATTGCTAACTAAATTAAATAATTTTTGAGGCTTATGAATAATCTTCATAGATCAAACAATATTATTGTGATGTAAAGTAAAATCCATAATCATCAGCTGCAGTGTTTATTATTAATCCATTTGGAGTTTAATAATAATCTCCATCATCATTTTTATATTCTAGGGTGGCAAAATCTATGCTATCTGTAATAACATATTTAGCATATGAAAAATAGCATATTTAACTTTACATTCGAAGGCATAATTAAGAATCAAGTATTATTACATATCCATATTTACATCTCCCACAAGTTGTGATAATATTATTCCAATCATCTCTTGGTGTAAAATAAAGATCAAGGGTATTAATCTAATAATCATAAGACATGGCCTAAAAGGCATAATCACAGTAATTAATGGTATTTTCTTAACAATTAATTCCGTCAAAAGAGAAAAAATATTTTGATTCATCTATGCATTTGTAACATTTTAAATATGATCTATTAATATTCTTATCATAATATTTTAAACATGTGCTACAATAATTACCACAAGGAAGGCAACTTCCATCATTTAAAGCAGAGTGATCAATACAAGATTAACATTATAGGATGTTGGAATCAATATTATAAATACAAGTTAGACAATATATAGGGCAATTATAATAATTGCCATCATGTAAATAAAAACCATCTTTGACTTTTTGGCAACTTCCATCTATGGATGCTTGTAAACAATTAATATTTGTGAGTAAACAATCTCCATTTAATTAATAATAATTAGGCTTACATCTGACATAAATCGTTTATCCTAAATGTTCATCATTTGCTTAAAAACAGTTGATGGAATCTAATTCTTAATCACAATACTCCAAATAACCTGATTTAAGGAGTAACTACCTATTTTAGTCAATCAAGTTGAAATCATAATCATATTGATCTCTTTCTGAATATTTATAGGCATCATAAAGTGTTAATTTATAAGATATTAAATCAATTTTGCAAATTGGCTTTAAATACCATATTAATGGATAATAAATACAATCTACACATAAAATATCAATATAATTTGATTATGGACTTAAAAATTAATATAATTTTACCATTTTAAACAATCAATTTAACCTTATTCATTTGGAAAGATAAAATATCCAAATTAACAAGTTTGGGTCATTTCATGTGTTCTTTAAAGTAACTCAACTGATGAGAATTTATACTCAAATGATTGGCAAACTGTCTCTCCAGAAATTTCGATATAACTATTAAGGCATTAACATTTCTTTTATTCATTTAAATATTATCTATTAGAACCAGGTTCACAACTTATACAATTATTCTAAAGTGGTCCATCACAAGTTAAGCAGGAGTAATGGCAAGCTAAAGATCAAAATATTCATTTATACCGTTAAATAATAGTATCTTATCATCAAAGTAATTATATTCAAATTTAAAATCAAAAATTGATGCCCATAGCAACTCATTCACAAACTCATCTGATCCCAAATATACATAATAAGGGGAATTAGTTGGAAGAGAAATATCACTTGAAATTTCCTAAACATTTAATTAATTAAAGAATTAAATTTGTAGTAAACTTCTTCTTCCAGCTATTGAAGAGCCATATTCATATTTTACAAAATGCCATTACTGTAATCCTTAATAATAAAGATCAGAAAACATGTCATATAAAAGATGAGAGTATATAGATATTAGATCAGAATTTGCAAAATGTCCCATGATTGGGATGTTATGATAATTCTAATTAATTATAATCTAAGTATAAGAAGGCACAAGTTTATTAAAATAAACTTACATTAAGAATATTTCATCTCCAAATTTTTCTCTGTCTGAATAATTTTTAAAAAGACTTATTCTAATGACAGGTTATATAGAATTTTAAATCACTTTTGATGTATCATATTTAATCCATCCAGAAAGGCAGAATTTATTTCCAAATTAATTTACTGTATATTGAAGAGATGTGTCACCTTCAAAAATTTGTAAATCTTTAACAAAGTAAACTATTTATTCATCTTATTTTTGACGAGGAACTTAACATAAATCACTCATATATTAAAATAAATCCTAACCAAGATATTCAACTTTGTTTACAAATATCTTTGACAGTCTTCCTTTGAAAATATTAAGGTTGAAATTCTCAATCTAATTTTGATATAAATAAATATTGTTTACATTGCCTCTTCCTCCCTAAATTATTTAAATGTAGTCTTATCCAATATTCATTGTCCCACTTTGACTCATTTAATCTGTCATTTGAATAATTATTTTCCCATCATTGAAATTAAAAGTTATGACGTTCAAAATCCATTAGCCTTTATAAAATTTTGGTTAATAATCGAAGCGTAAGACTTACACAGTACTTCCTAAAATAATTATTGTATGATAAACAAGCAAATTTAAGTAATCTATTTGAACAAATCCTAACACTGAATTACTTGTACTTCCCTTCACTAAAAATAATAATTGGCCTATTTCATCATCATTTACAAGGAATTCTTTTTCTACATAAGGAATATTCTTAAAAGTTTATTGTGGAATGCAAAGACTCCAAAATCCAAAACCAAATGAATCTCCTACTTCTAAAATAACAAAAGCTTCAAAGAAGTTTTTCTCAAATGGAAATTCAACCGATAATAAGGCCTATTCATAATCATTATAAGGGCAACAATGACCTTTAGGAATGCTAATATTTATGAAGATCCAAGAAATCAATAAAAAAACTGTATCTGATGTTGTCATTTTTAACATATGATATTTTTTAATAAAATATTAAAATGTGGAAATACTAAGTTTCTAAATCATATTCTTATATATATAATAATAATAACAACTAATACAATAAAAAAAAGTGATTGGAAATACTTCCTGCTCGAAAATTTATAAAGAAGAAAAAATAATATTGTCACTACTGAATTCTTTAGAATTTAGTTTTGATATTAGAATTATAAAACCTATAATTTAGTCATTCTTGTCAGTCATACTTATTTATTACTATAAATCTATTTATGAAACTACTACATTTACCTTTGTCTTTTAATTTTATTTTATAACTAATCATTAATTATTTTTGTTAAATTGAAATAGGGTTTTTACTTTATTATTGCTTATTGAAATTTTACATTAGATCGTTCCTAATTGGGATTTTTTATAATTCACTTCCACATTTTGGAATTGAGATAATATTGTAATATATTGTAATTTTTTTTAAATTAATAATTAAAATGTAATAAATATTAGATGTATACCATTTAATTTGAATATAACGAATTATATTTTAATATTAAAAAAAACTAATTTTAATATAATCATAAATAATTTTCATAATATAATTTGGCTGGAAATGGAGAAAATTTAATAAAAGAGTCAATTAATTTTAGTATTCTAACAGATTGCTCCTTTAACTTCTTTAATAGGCTAAAATAAATAAATTCAAAAAATTATACATATTTTTAGATTGTTGAATTTACATTCAGAATACAATAGGTTAAATTTATTCAAATTTTTTGAAATACTCTCACTAAACACTATTTTGAAAAAAATTCTAATATTTGGATTCCACTTGGAGTGTAATACGAATTCAAAATAATATAAATTTTCTTTTAAATTAACATTGAAACTAATGAAAAGGCATCAATATCTAGAGTTTGAGTGATACAGAATATTGGATCTAGAAACTCTAAGTTCATAATAATTAAAATTTCAAATTGAGAAGTTATTAATAGTGATGATATAATCATTATCTTAATATAAGTCATAATGAGTAATATATTGCATTCAATTTATTCAACTATATGGATAGACCATTTCATAAAATGTAGAATGGAATCGAAATAGAATCTTCATTAGTTACTGAATTAAAATTAGAAAATTATCTTTTAAACATATTTTGAATTAATGAAGAAGATTAAATTCTGAAATAACCTCCTAATTAGGAATTTATTTGATGTTAATGTAGGAGCAAATTTGTAATTAGGAAAGATTTTGAATGAAAGATCCATATTCTTTATATCTGATCTAATTTTTAGAAGGAATATCAAATGAACTGTATAAATCTTTAATACTAATTTTATAATTTCTCTTAATTTTTATTTAATAAGTTTTTAAGAAATCTGTCAAAAAGAGCTCTAATTTATTTAAACTTTCTTTACATTTATTTTGACTGCATCTTTAATTCCTATGAAATGGATTTTTATTAGTTGAACATTGTTTAGTAATAATTAAATAATTGTTGATGGAACTTTAATATTTTTCAACAAATGTTACACCCATACCCTAATATATCCTTGCAAGAATTTGAAATTGTTCAAATATCAATTAAGAGAGCAGTTGTGAAAGTTGAATATTTTTATGAATGTAAAGTTTGAAAAAATAGCGATTATTTTCATTCACTAAAATTAATTGTCTAAAAATATGAATCAATATAATATACTATTAAATAAAAGTAATGGTTTGATTTTAGATTCATTGATAATAATTATTCTCATACACAATAAAGAGTAGTTATCAGATTCCTAATAATAAATGAAATTATCTCAAGTATTGATGATGACAAAGGATTTTTTTAATTAATACAACTTCATAAAAATAGTTAATAATTTTTGATTATATTCAAAAATACAAACCAAATAGAGATTTATAGAACTATATATATAATTTTTAAATTTATATAACATGGAACAAATCGTTTAACTTGTCTATTGATTACTTGTTTGAAATTTTGCCAAATTGTAGATTAAGGTATAATATGATGGTATAAAAATTATTTTCTCCAAATATATTAAATTTATCATAAATAAATTCATGATGTTCAAAATAATTCTAAATAGCTTTAATATATTTTTAAGGAATTCATATGGTTTAAACAATGTACCTGAATTAAATGAGGCAATCTTAAGGTTGTAAATTTGAAAAACATAGGGCAAATGTCAACTTAATCGCTTAAAAACACCCTTCTAAATAATTACAGGATTAAAAAGAATACTTAATAAAATATTTTTCATTTACATCAAGAACTTTATTTTCATTAATTCGATCCTAAAGGTCTTAATTCTATCAATAAAAATTAATTGATTATATATAAATTAAATCGAAATCATTTAATAGAATATAAAATATAAATAAAATATATGAGTCAGATAATGAGAGAATATATGAAAAAATGTTCTAGTGAAGGACATGATTTTGTTCAATTCGCTTGCTTGAATTAATCATGTAAAGAAATGAGAATTTATTGTTTTCAATGCATTTAAAATGATGATCATTTTAATTGTCATAAACATTCAAAGAATCTAGATTAACTCTTTAAATTTTTTAAATAGATCGAGGAAGAAAGCGAAAATTTAATAGAGAAAATCTGGTCCTTACAAGAATCTATAAGAGAGCAATTTCTTGAATTAACTAAAACATTGAGAGTAGAATTTCACTTCACTAAATCGGCACTATTAGAAATGAATCCAAAGAAATTAAGTGAAGCTTTAGATAAAGTGATCAAATATGATGAATTTAAAACAGTTTTTTTAGAGGATGTTAAGAAATGTTCAGATGATATGATCATTTAATTAAATAGATTAATTAGCCAATTTGAACAATTCTAAAATTAAGAAATCCCTCAATATAATTTTAATAAAATAGAGTAATCAAATGATTCTTAAGTAAATAAAAGTAATTAAGAATAAGTAGAAAAATATTATTAATAAGGTAAAGAATTATTAATTAAGGATATAAATTATTTTAAGAGGATAACTACGAAGAAGCAATTAAATTTATAAATCTTTCATTACTCATTAATCCGAAGCATCTAAATTCATTGTATATTAAAGGTATAAAAATCATACTTAATAATATTAGCTGAAAGTTTAAGAATGTGCAAAGATTATGATGGTGCAATAATTTTTGCTGATAAAGTTTTGAAAATAGATTCAAATCATGTCAATTCATTATATACTAAAGGTATACAAATTCTCCATAAATATATTAGCTGATAGTTTAAGATTATTAGGGGATTACAAAAACGCTATTGCACTTGCTGATAAAGCTTTGTTAATAGATCCAATGCATACCGATTCATTATATACTAAAAGTAAATAAATGATACATAAATTTTTAGATGAGAGTTTAAGATTATCAGGGGATTACAAAGGCGCAATTTTATAGGCTGATGAATTTTTGTTAATAAATCCAAATAATACAAATTTTTTATATACTAAAGATAATTTAATTTATCTAATATAGGTGAATCATTAAGAATGTTGCGTAAATTCGACGAAGCTCTTTAGATTTTAGATCAAGCATTGAATTGTGATCCGGATCATGAATTATGTTTAGCCAGCAAAGGTTTAGTATATCTTATATATTTAGGAGCCTGTTTACATTCATAATTAAAATATTAAGAAGCCATTATTTATTACAATAAGGCCATTGAAATCAACCCTCAATACTCATGGGCTAAAAGTAGGAGAGGTAAATTGAATGTTATTATAAAGCTGAATGCAAAAACAAATTAAATACACAATAGTGAATTAATTGAATTTTAAGTAAAAATATTTTTGCAAAAGTTCATCAAATATCTTTTATTTTTATTATATATGTATATATAAATGACTTTCAGGAATTTATTTAAAATGAAAGCAACTTATATTGGCTTTATATCAAACAAAAATTTTTGTAGATAATAAAAGACTTTTATAATCTATTTTGGGTTCTTAATTTAAATCAAATTTATTTTCTTACTGAATTATAATTCTAATTAATTGTTTATTGATTATCTGTTAATTATACCTCATTAATCAATTAAAAATATATTATTAATTTGTTTAATAAATTTCAATTATTTACAATTATCCTTTAATTAGAGTTTGTTTATATATTTTTTTCTTGATCTGAACAAAAAATTTAAATATTTTAAATTAAGCCATTTCATTAGAAGATGCATATGGCACCAATTACATTTAGTAAAATAATTGGCATATTCTTCTCAGTCATCAATATTAAGGGAGCAGTAAGGCAACTTTTATTGTAAAATAATTTTGAGTAATCATTCAAACTATCCAACAGAAGGCAACACAACTAGCCTAAATTTATGTAAGCTTAGAAAAAGTTTCTTCAGTGAAACAATATTTTCCATTCTATGTGAAGTAGGGCATATTTAATCAAGAAGTAATCTTCTTAGAAGTTTTTCTTGCATTTAACAATGTCAGATGATGGACATCCAGCTAAATAAGAATTTTATTAATCTGCAGAATTAAAAGAATCAGGGGCAATGTCTTATGTTGTACTAGTTATACCTATCAAATAACAAAAACATTATTGTTATTGAAATAACATCCTATAAAATAGCAAAATCAGTTCTTACATTTGCAATAGCATTCTTAGTAAGGCTTTAGCTTAGGCTATTAATTAATCCTATTTTGAAAATAGCCATAATGGTTAACATTTGATATCTAAAATCATTCAAAAATGGTAGTCGTCTCATTTTATTAATTAGGAAATTGACATCATGACTAATAACAAAAATTATTTTTAATGAAAATAGTTCGTCCTTGAATGAAAGTGTTGTTCAAATATGCAAACCTACATTCAAGACTTGATATTGAGAGGAACTCTAAAAAATTCAATATGCCCAAATTTCTTGTACAGTTTTGGAGGAGGCATCTACCTATCTCTAGAAGAAATGAGATCAAGTGGAGAGTTTAACCAGTCAATTCTTTTTAAGTTCTTAAACATATTTATAATTTTGGTCATGTAGCTTTGAATTAAGTTACATGAAAGAATGAGATATTATCTAAATATAATGAATTTTTTGCTGAAGAAAAATTAGAGAACTCAACAATTATTACATAAATCAAGAATATGTTTTTTATTAAATAACAATTCAATTCTATTGATGATGTAATATTGTAAAAAGAACTTCAAAAAAATGTTAGAAGTTTTTGAAATAAGTAAAATAAAGCTTCCTCCAATATTTTATTTAACGAATAAGATTTTACAAAATTAATTCATCAATAAGATGTACAAATAAATAAATTATACATTAGAAGGGTAAAATATATAATATATATTCAAGATGATGAAACTTGAATATAAATAAGGTAGAAGATTAAATGAAAAAAAAAATAAATATTAAAAAATGAATTTCAAAATGGAAGAAAACTTTCGAAAATTCAAACTATTTCAATAACAAATGATAAAGTAAAGATGTTTTTTCTGACAAATAATTTTGTTTCAAATTAATTTTGGATGTTAATGTATTGAATTTGAAAATTCAAATTATATGTAAGCAATAACTCTATTGTAAATGAGATTTGCTTTTAATAAAATAGTAATTAATAAATTGTTAAGGAAATCTTTGAATAAGTGGTAGCTTTATTACCAATAAATATTGCTTAGATAAATGAATAGATATGATCGAAGCATTGGAATGATATTATTCAGCTATGTAGGAATAAATTTAATAAGAGATTTAAAAGAGTATGAAAAGCCTAAAAGAAAAGTGGAAAAAATCAAACAGATAGTTGAATAAAGTAGAAAATATATTTAAATCAAACATGATTAACAGTAAAAAGTAAAGATAAACAATTGCTGTAGATATATTAAATTTTATATTTCGAAATACTTATTTTTATTTATTTTATGTATTTCTTATCGGATGTAGGATTTCAAAAATTAGGTCTTTTCACATCCATAATATGTTTTTAATTTTACACATTATATTTAAGAGAACATTGGATGTATTATAAATCATCTTAAAAATTCTAGCAAAGGCATAACGGACTCTAAATTAGTTTCAGCTGATCAATACTTCCTAAAATTTTGAAACCATTTGAGGCAAATATAAAAATTGGTATCAAAAGACAATTAATTGAAAAAAAATCTTATCTTTTTAGGGAACATAAAGATTGATTCTCTTTAATCTAATTAATCTGCCAAATTTATTTAAGGTAAATATTTCTTCTGTATGTTTTCTAGATCATCCACATTTAATTTCAACCTATTTTTCTAGGGCCTCTTTAGAATTTTATTATTTATTATTATTATTTTAAGAAAAAACCATATTTTTTTATGTCTATGAATTAAGTTATGTATAATTTTTGATTAATAAATGTAAGATTATAATTAAAATTACAAAAATAATTACATAGAATTATTTTAAGAATGATATTATGAATAATTAATTTTATCATATGATGAAAATCTACTTAATCAAAGATATTTGGTATAAATAACTGATTATTAAAGAGAAAAAATTTCATTTAATCATATATTATTTGATTTTCATAAATTATTCTCAAAACTAGAAGATCTACAATTACTAGATAAAAAATAACATTACATATTAAAAATCTGAAAAAATTAGTTTAATTTCTTTAGGCATAAACATTATTATGAAATCAAATAACGTGGATATTTAAAGAAATGGAATTTATAATTTAGTATTATTTCTTGTTTTAGAAAATTTAACTAAAAAGAAAAGTTCTAAGTAAATTTAAAATATAATTTAAGTTCTAATTAATCAAGCAGTTTATAAAAATCAAATTTATCACTTAATATTGATTTCGCTAAATAATTTTATTTTGGAAAAGCAAAAATTCTTGAAGTTTCGTTTTTAATTCAATTTATTAAAACAAATATATTTAAAATTTATGATAAAACTTCACATTTATATATATATTGATTATTCATATATTATATATGGATATAAAGATATATTTTCATTATTCTTAATATCTCCTATTTACTTTAATTTAGTATCCCAAGTGATCGAATACTCTCCATCATTACTTATTGCTCCAAATAAAGAACTAATTCCATAATTTATAGATTATTCAGTTAGAAACTCTCCTTATTTCCTGATCTAATTGACATACTTTCCATTCTTACTTACAAATCCAAATTTCTAATTCTCGGTTTATTTTCATATAAAATCTTCTTCCAATATTCATATTTAATTTTTATGAAAATGGAATCTAATTTCACCGATCCTAATTGACATGAATCCTAAATTAGTATATGTTTATGGATTACTATTATTGATTAATTGGGAAGTTCCTCTTATTAAATTACAATAAAGAAAAGTTTTTTAATGCACTAGAAATTAAAACTCAATAGTTTAATAGCATAATTTTCGATAAACATAATTAGATGTGAATGACCTTATGTCATGTTTAATTGCTAGTCTTTGTTTCTTGATTATATCTCTAAAGAGAAAATATATAAATTCAAGGTTTGTAAATAATTTATTTATTTCTCAATAAATGAATTTTGGAATTTGATCAAATGAATATATAAGTTATCTAGTATTGAGTTACCTTAAATACAATATCAAAATTTTAAAGATGTCTCCTCATATTTAAATCCTTAGTTATATTAATCAGATTTATAATGGCAATAATAATTCATTACCTTACAATGGCTTTAGTTTCTGCCAAAATCTGTTCATTATTGCTAATTACATCTCATTATGTCTAAAATCTAAAATATTCAATAATCTAAATAAAACGTATCGATATGCTATATGAGATGATTAGAAAAAAATGAAAATACAACCCAAATTTTTTGGAATGTTTTATAGTATTTTTCTAATAAACTAAATATTAAATATATTGGGAATTTTTATTCCATTCCCTCAGATGATTGTAATAAATTTCATTATATATATTTATGTTCAATTAATCAGAGATATTATATTTTTAATCATATTCATATTAATATGTCTTATATTTCTATTTTACTTCCACTCATCGCCCATACACATGGATATAAATCGTAAGTTGGATCTATCTAAAGAGTCTATTATGATATATAATTATCTGAATTACAAATGATTGATTCGATTATTTTTTAGTCCATTTTATGTATTTATTTTAAATGTCAACTTCAACCATGATTATATCATTTACTGTAAAATCAAATGATAATGCTTTGGCATCTTTATCTTTGTCATGGTGTGAAAAACAATACTAATTAGATCCTATTGTATATGATCTAATTTTATTCATCAATTAATACCCATAGCCATAAGTTACATCTCCATCATAATTATTTTTTTATATAATCTCTCTCATCCCAATTCCAATAAAACATCTACTACTTAATTGAATGATCTTAAATGCAAATAATGTAAATCCATTTTTAGGGATAACTTAATCACAAAGACAGTATTTGCCATTTTGAACAGTCTTACCATTTTATGTCACTTAGCAATTAGAATGTTTATGTGTTTATGAAAATGTTAATAACTTTTATTATTATGATGACTTATATGATAATAATATGTTACTTTTGCTTTTAATTCTTAAAAATCTGCATCTTTAACTTTTATTTAATTCTTTAACTCTAAATTTTCTTTATTAATTTATTCATTTGTTTAGTTCAATATTCTTAGATCATTCTCAAATTAATTTTTTGATTCTGAATTCTCTTTTTAAATAGATTCAATTTATTCTTTTAATTTTTTATTATCTTAATTTTTATGATTGATTTATTCTTCCATTTCTTTCTTCATCTTTTCATCTTAATAATATAAAATATAAAATACTTAAAGATGTTAAAACTTAAATCTCATTTTAATATTAATTTTAATTTTTTTTCAATAATTCTAATTATTACTTCTATTCTTCATTTTGTTGATTAATTATTAATTATTCATTATTGGATAATGAAATTTACTTTTTTAATTCCTTAATTAGATTCAACATTTAATCAAATTCTAAAAATTATTAAAATTTAAGATAATCTTAAACAAATTTTTCTGAATAATTATTGAGTTCATTGAATATCTATTGAAATCCTTAACATTTTTCTATTTTTAAGCTTAAAATCTACCTTAAATTCTAAATTTCCTCTTTAGCCTTTTTATATTAACCAATATTTTCATCAAGCATTTTTTATGAAAATTGAAAATTAAATGATTATTCCATAATTTATCTCGTTTTTTCTATAATTTATAATATATCAGCTGTTTCTTCTTTATTATCTACATCTTCCTACTAGGTTGATTTTAAAAGATTATCAATTTCATGAATCACTTTATTATCATTCATAAGCAAATAATTGATTCTTTAAGCATTTATTTATTAATATTAAATTAAATGCTCCAATCTGGATCTTAAGTCTGAATAGAATATTTTATCAATTTTCTCTATATTACTTTTTTGATCTTTATGTGACTTAAATTTATCTATTTAACTTAATTGAATAAGTATTTCATTAATTTAATTAGACGTTAATTGATAAAATGATTTACCATTAATCTAGTTCTGATTCATATGTTCTATTGATTATTATTAGTTATTTAAAGATTATATTAGGTCATCAAATATTTAATCATTTTACAATTTGATATCTTAAATGACTTTCAATATTTTTTATTACATAATACTCCTAGTTTTTTGGATTTCATTACAATTAGCTTAATTTCTCTTTTGATATTAATCCCATTAGTTAATAAGCTCTTCTAAAGGTGTGTATGATGCAGGATATTATTAAATACATTTTACACATGCCATCTTTGGTTACTGGTTAGAATTCACATTCAAATTAAACATTATGATTTCTTTTGTGTGTTCTTCACATATAAGTTTCAAAGCTGGTGTTTTCTAATATGATATATAATTATATTACATAATCTTATGCTTTTATCATTTCATTAGGTTATTCATTTGTTTATAAATCCTAGGCTACGATTTCATTAACAAAAATTATTTAGTTATTCATTAATTTATTATATTATTAAGAATTTATGAATGATGATAATTATTTTTGGATTTATTCAATAAATTTATGATCATCTTCTATTGCTTGAATAGATTATGAATGAATTTATTATTCTTAATATTAGGATAATCTTTCAATGTCAACTTCAAAATTGAATATGATAGTTTATGATTCTATATTTTCTATATCACTTTAAATCTAACTTAATTTTGATTGAATATTATTGAATATTTTATCAAAAATAGAATCTATATTCTACTTAAGATCTCTTAATAATTATCCAACTATTTTGAAATTATCTAATCTCTTTTTATTGTCTTCAAATTTTTGATTTTATTCAGTCATTTTCATTTCTTTAATCAAATTCTTAGTTTCGTCAATCATATTCATTTTCTTCTTATTCATTCTTTCAATAATACATCTAACACATAAATATCTATCCTCTTAAACTACTTTTGCTTCAAGGTCAACCAAAACAATTTCTAATTTATGTTTTGAGCACATTTTCATATTTGATTATTCCATTTTCTATTAAAAAATGATTATTTATAAATGTTAATTAAATTCTTTGTAATAATTTATCATCTTAAATTATTCTAAATAAGCTAATATTTTTATTGACTTTCCACACAATTAATCAGATGATTACTTGAATTAATCAGACTTAATTGGAACATAAAATGATCTGTTCTTATTATTAAAAATTTAAGGATGCTTTAATTAAAGTAAATCAAAGAATTCTATTTTAATATTGCAGATCCTTAAGGTATTCCATTAAAAATATTATTAAATTATTTATGGATATTTTTAAGTTATATTTTGATTAAATATTAGCTTTTCCTTTTGATTCAACTTTGTTGATTCAGCTAGTAATTAATCTTATTCAATAGCTAATAATTTAGATTGTTACTTATCTGAAACAGCAAATGTTGACTTAACATATTCAAAAATCATCCTAATTAGGATATTAATATTGTGGTAATTTATTTTTATAATTTTTGGATTGATAATATTTTCAATTCTCATTCTTTTTAACATATTATTGTTTTTTTTTAATTTTGATATTTCATTAAATTCATTACAATCATCATCCAATTAATCAAATGGACTAACCTATTGCATTTTTGTAGAATAAATATTTTTTGATAGTTTTTTTTTGAATTAAAAGTGGATTCATTAATATATTTGAATGATTATGGTCTATATTTATTTCAATTTTAATTTAATCAGACGGAATTCTCTTAATTTAAAGAAATTATCTTTAATTCTTTATTCTTTGAATATTTTTCATTTAAAATTAATTCAAGTTTTTTCGATGCTTAATTTAATCTAAAGTACTTAAGAATCAAAAGTAAATATTTTTATAAAATCAATAAATAT